CAGAACCCCATTTACCTGGTATTCTTCTACAAAAGGTGCTAGGAAGATTGGTAATCGTGACATAGGTCGAATATATAGATTATGCAAATACATAGATAACCTCATCTCGAGAAAAGATAATTTATCCGATTCTAAATCTAAACATAAGAAAAAAAAAAGCTTTTCATTTAGACAAGGCCGTGCATAGAATGAAAAGAAAAATCTATAGATTACAAAATGAGATCTATAGAAAAACGATTAAATTCTTAACAGACAAATTTGACATTATTATGATCCCACCTTTGAAATATCAAATATGATTAACAGAAAGACCAGAAAGATAAACAAGAAAATGGTGAAAAGAATGTTAGGATGGTCTTATTACAAGTTTAAACAAAGATTAATCTCAAAATCTGAAGAAAAAGGTAACAAAGTGATCTTTCAAAACGAAGCTTATACTTCAAAAATATGCAGTTGGTGTGGTAATATGCAAAATATCAGTAAGTCAAAAATATACAAATGCAAAAATTGTAACATTAAGATTGACAGGGACATAAACGGCGTCCGAGGGATACTTCTTTGGGCTTTGCTTAATAGAGCTATAATCTTGTCATAAGACATCTTCATGCAGGAAATAGTAACTTTACTTAGTAATACTTAGTATTGATTACTATTGATATATTACAATCCATCCGTTATATTGATACATGGTAATTCATATTTTCTATAAATTTGGAATCAATTCCACTTCGGATGACCTCTTCGATGTTGATTTCCAGCTTTTGGGCGCTTTTAAAAACTAATTCTTTTAATTTTAATAAATCTTCGGCTTCATTAGCGATCAATAGGAAAGTCAAATACTCCACGATATATACCGCTTGGCTAAAATCAATTGATCTTAGCACATAGTAGGTGCCCAGAGTAGTATGAACATACATATGAATTTTTTGACCGATGTCAAATAATTTTCCAGCATATTTTAGCTTTTGACGCGTTCGGGAACTCATTTTTTTGAAGATGAAAACTTCAATATGTTTTTGATTTGGTTGGAGGTTTTGGCTTTGCTGGAGATTTAGATATTCTTGAGAACTCATTTTTAGAAAACTTTTAAAATGAGAAAAATCTAACTTATAACTTATATTTTGCAAATATAATAATACATTTATTTATTGATGTATTGATTTTACTTGGATAACTCATAGATTATCAAAACTATAATACTACCAGTGTTGTCAAACGGATTTTTCATTGGTAATTGTCATATCCTTTTATTATATTATTTATGTGAAGTGATAAATAACATAATAAAAGAATGTGGCAATTACCAACAAACAAACTGTTTGACAACACTGGATATTACTAATGAATTATAAGCATACAATTAATGTACGATTAATGATAAAAAATGATCTCTTATTTGTATTTTGCTAGCAGATGACAAATCTAACGATTTTCATATTGTATTAAACAATATTGCAATGTTTAAAAATTTTCATCGGTACAATTCTTGACCAAAAAAACTTCAATTATGTTAATCAGAATTAAGGAATTGTTGGTTCATAATTGCTGATTATCAGGATAATAAAAATATCAATGCCATTATTAAATGCTATCGATATAAATATTTGATGTGTAATACTAATCATCTATATTCTCATTATATCAACTTCTATTCTTTATATGAAATGGCTGCCTTGTTGGTCATTGATATGCAATATAAAAAAAATTAAACATATGTAAAACTTTAAATAATTCTTACCAGGAATTTTTTCATAATGACTCGGTCAATAAAAGATATTCCTGTTTTATGGACACAGCATGGTCATATGAATGTTGAACTCGATAGAGGTGCCTTGGCACGATGGGTATTTAATAATTAAAATTTAAGTAGAAAGATAAAGATAAGATGATAATGCAAGGATCTGAAAAGTGGAAAATTTTGACAGAATTTAATTTAATTGTTACAGTAAGTTTTGATTTTTGAATTGAGTCCGAAAGTTATTTTTGAATTGAGTCACAAAAGTCATTTTTGAATTGAGTCATGAAAGTCATTTTTGAATTGAGTCATGAAAGTCATTTATAATATTAATTAACATTAATTTCTTGTAAATTTAGTGATCTTCACCTTCACTCGGCACCCTTAACTTTATCATCCAAAGTAAAACTCGCTATAATACTTTCTACAAGACCGAACTTAATTCCTTTCTTACATCATTTCTGGTGTTAAAACAAATTTATGCTGTAAGACAACTGCTAGAAGTAAGTACTTGTATTAATATAAGATTATATTTGTCTACTATATGATATTGATAAAGAAAATTCACTACATATAAATTTTTTTCTTTTTTAGAATTAGATAAATTTAATACAGTCCAATTGACTATGTAAAATTATTTAATTACAGATATATAAATGAGCTGTCATTAATCAAAACGTAACGTACCATAGTGAGATTATATTATTATAATAACGTAATATTGTGTAATTATATTTTTAATCTTACTATGGTACGTTACGTTTTGATTAACGATACCTCAAATATACAACGTTAACAAAAAGCTAATCTGAAAAAACTTATATAAAATAATTTTTGTTATTTTTTTTCTCT